AAACTAAATTTAAAAAAATATAAATAAAAAAATTTTTTTAAAAAAATCAGGAAAGGAGGGCTTCAGGGATTCGTCCGGTCTCCATACCTTTTCAATCTATATACAGATCATTTAGGAGGCTGGGATTTATGAGGAGGAAAGTGGCAACAGGTTTGGAGGAAGACTCATCAATCACCTACGTTATGCAGATGACACAACCATGCTTGCTGAAACTATGGAGGACCTGAAGTGCTCACTGCAGAAGGTTAAGGATTGTAGTCTTCAATATGGACTGAAGCTCAACATCAAGAAGAAAAAAATTCTCACCACTGGGCCAATTGGCAGCATGATAGATGGAGAAGAGATTGAGGCTCTTAACAATTACAGCTAGCTCTACAACCAGGAGAAGATAAAATAGATGAATGGGACCTTCTAAGAATCAAACCCCTATGCACATCCAAAAACTTCTCTAACAGAGTAAAAAGGGAAGCCACAGACTAGGAAAAAGTATTTGGGAATGACATGTCAGATAAGGGACTTATATCTAGAATTTATAAAATACTTGAACACCACAACAAGATAAAAGTAAATAATCCAATTGAAAAAGGACACAGGATATGAACAGATACTTCACCAAAGAAGACATTCAGATGGCCAACAAGCACATGAAGAAATGTTCAAAATCCCTAGCTCTAAGAGAGATGCAAATCAGAACAACTGTGAGATCATCTCACCCCAGTCAGAATAGCAAAATTTAACAGAACAGCAAGCAACAAATGCTGGCGAGGTTGTGGAGAGACTGGAACCCTTCCTTATTTACTGTTGGTGGAAGTGTAAAATGTGCAACCACTGTGAAAAGTGGTGTGGCGCTTTCTCAAAAAGTTGCTAGTGGAGATACCATTTGACTCAGCAATTCCAATACTGGGACTATACCCTAAAGAGACCATAACTGACATCCAAGCAGATATATGCACAGCCATATTTATTGTGGCTTTGTTCACAATAGCAAGGAGTTGGAAACAACCTAGGTGCCCATCAACAAATGAATGAATAGAGAAGCTGTGGTATATTCACACAATGGAATACTATGCTGCATTGAGAAACAAGGAACTCATGCAATATTATTCAAAATAGGTGATCCTGGAGGACATTAAAAGTGAAATATCTCTGTCACAAAAGGACAAATACTGCATGGTGCCACTGTTGTAGAATGGGACTGACATCAGGATTGGGGTAAGACTGAGAAAAACTGGATAAATTATGTATACTGCATTGAAACAGATGAGGGAGAGAACAATTTAAAAGCGATATATGATAGGGTATTATGTTTATCACAAGAGTTCAGAATTAAGGTTTCATAGTGGAGTGTACTTGGGGCAGCGGGAGGGGTGCAGGGGGATTTTATACCAAAGAAAGAATTTTTCAAACTGGGAGGGGGAGGGCGGGGCAGGGAGAAAAGTGCCACAATGAATGAATGGAAATCCAAAATCTCTCTAAATGTTCATAAAAATTAATAAAATAAAATAAAAAAAATAAACAATTACAGCTTGCTTGGCTCCACAATCAACACTCTTGTCACCAGAAGTCAGGAAATTAAAAGGTTAATTGCACGGGGAAATATCTGCTGTCAGGGTCCTTCTGGAGTACTGAGAAGCAATGATGTCAGTCTAGAGACTAAGGTGAGCCTGATTCAGGCCATGGTCTCTGCAAATAACTTGCTATGCATCAGAGAGCTGGACAATGACTAAAGATGACAGAAAAATAATTGATGCCTTTGAGTTGTGGTCCTGCAAAAGAGTAGTGAACATACCATTCACTGCTAAGAAAACTATTAGGTCTGTCTTGGATAGGGTGAAACCAAGTTTCTCCTTGGAGTCTAGGATTTTGACACTCCATCTCACATACTTTGGGTACAAACCTGGAAGGGACCAGTTCTTGGAGAAGGACATCATGCTCTAAAGGGTGTACAAACACTGAAGAAGAGGAAGACCCTGGATGAAATGGATTGGTGCAGTAACTTGGAGCAATGAGGGTAGGTGTGTGAGTCAGTGAGTCTGGGTCAGGACAGGGTAGGCTTCAGAGCTGTTGTACAGAAGGTTGCTATGAATCATAGGTGACTTGATAGCATGTAACAACAACAATAGGTTTCACATGAGCAAAGCATGTGTTCTGACTGGTATTCTCTACTTCTCAATTTTAATTGTTCTAATCCACACAATCAAATGTCTTTTCATATTAACACAAGTAAATAAAAGTTTCAATAAAACACAAATAAACATGTTTCTGGTGTTCTCTGTATTCAGGCAAGGTCCACCAGACATCAACAATTATATTCCTTTTCCTGTGGCGTTTTCTGAATCCAGCTTGAATTTCTGGCTGTTCCCTGTTGAAATACTGTTCCAGCCATTTGTAAAAAACCTTCAGTAAGATTTTGCTTGCATTTTGTTTGGTAAATTCCACATTCTGTTAGATCTCCTATTTTTGGAATGGAAACAAATATGAACCACTGCCAGTCTTTTGGCCAGGTAGTTGTCTTCCAAATTTCTTACCATAGACTAGGTAGCATGTCCAGGGCTGCATCTGTTTCTCGAAACAACTTGATTGATATTATATCAGTTCCTGGCATATTAATTTTTTTATCAATGCCCTTTACTATAGCTTGAACTTCTCATCATTTGCTGATCAGATGCTACTTCGTGAAATGATTCAATGTCGAACAATTCTTTTTGATACAGTGAGTGTATATTCCTTTCATTTTCTTTTTGTTCTTCCTGCATCATTTAAGATTTTACCAATGAACTCCTTCAGTATGTCAACTTGAGGCTTGAATTTGTTCTTCAATTCTTTCTGCTTGAGGAATATTGAGCGTGTTCTTCCCCGTTGGTTTTCTAACCCCAGTTATTTGCACATTTCATTGTATTAGTTGCTATGACTTGTCGAGCTGCCCTTTGGCATCTTTTGTTTACCTCTCTTACTTCAACATTTTTTCCCCTTTTATCTTGGCTTTTCTCCATCCTTGTATATGTTTCAGAGTCTCTTCTGACATCTATTTTACTCTTCCCCTCCTTTCCTATCTTTGCAATGACCTTCTGCTTTCTTTGTGGATGATGTCCTTGATGTTGTTCTATAACTCAGCTTATCTTTGGTCATCATTGTTTGATACATCAGATTTATTTTCTTGAGATGAGTTAAATTTAGATAGGATAGTTTTCTTTTGATTCTCATGGACTTGTTTTCATTTTTTTTAGCTTGAATTTTAATTTGCACAAAAGTAATGGTCTGTTCCACAGTCAGCCCTTGGCCTGCTTTTAACTGCTGATACTGAACTTCTTTATAAGCTTTTTCCATACATGCCATGAATCTGATTAATGACACAGTAGTCTGTTCCATCAGGTGAAGCCCAAGTATTTAGCTGTCATTTTTGTTTTGTAAAAAAAGTGTCTGCAATGAAAAAATAATTTTTGTACAAAATCCTATTATTCAATCTGCAGCCTTATTTCTGTCACCAAGTCCATATTTTCCAAATATCAGTCCTTTGTTTCCACTTTTCCATTCTGGTCATCAATTATTATAAAGTACATCTTGATTGCATGTTCAATAGATTTTAGACTGCAAGAGTTATTACAAATCCTCCATTTGCCAAATGTGGTATCAGGATCAGAGGAAGACTCATCAATAATGCGTCATGCAGATGTGTTAAGAGCACATTGTTAAAAATATAAACTGGAGTCTGTAAATCTAAAAGCAGAAGTTAATCTACTAAATGTTAAAAGAGGAATACAAACTTACTGTGCTGTGTTTGGCTAGAAGGTAT